TATTACACTTTGCGTCAATGTCATGTCTCCTCGCGATTAAATATAGAGAGATCACTTTCTTGCGTGCCTTTAGCGCCAAAATAATTCTGTATTTTCCCTATTTTACGTATTTTATATATATATATATATATATATATATACGTAATCGTGCTTAAGAACATTCGATCTTTAATAAATTCTTCGCGTAATCGCGGGACAGTCATGTTGTTGATAATAATTGAGTATTGTGCGTCGCATGTTCAGTATTCTGTCTCTGTCACGTCATGTAACGCACTTTACGAGATTTAGAGCTTGTCGTTATTATTATCGCAATTGTTGCCGATGAACAGCACTAATTCAAAAATGACACTTTCTTGCCGTTCATCGCGAAAAAAATCTATATCACGTAATCTTACTTCGCATAAATATCGTTTTACCATATGGTCATTAGATTGCATTTTCGTAGATCTGACGGTTTGTGTCAGATTATTATACATGAGTCGTGCGAATTTTCGCGCGCGACAACCGATTTGTATAACGCGACGGAGGAGACAGTCTGTCCTCGTAAGAGTTCGTAATCGCCTAAATCATTTTCGCAGTAGATTTTCACTTCCGCGCCCGTTTTAAGACTCCATGTAATCATCTTTCGGAGACTCTCGATGCATTTCTTTTCCACTGTCACGTTGGGTGACATCGACTAATCGAATGGAGCGGAATCGCGAAAATAGCCGCGACTGCGTCTTTGCGATTTGTAACACTCGATTGCTTATGATTTCCGTATTTGTGATATAACTCGGACACTTTCGACGGATGTGCGAGCTAAGTATTATCATTTTTTTAAGATAGGGTAAAGAGAATTGCGTCTGGCATGAGAGAGAAAAGATCGTAATATTCTCACAATTTGATTACTCATGATTTTCGTAACCGTGATGCAACTACAATATGCAGTTTCATGTTATGTATCAGAATCCTTTAAAGAACGTTTTCGCATATATGTAAAATTTATTGTAGATATTCTAAAATTATCGATTTATTACTGAGTTTTTCAAAAAGCCGAGTTCTAAAGTAGCCTGAAAAATTAAGATGTTTTTATAATCTGTTTACGATACTTTCCCGAGTTTTTGTGTTATTTTCAATTATGTCATATGCGATTCATTGTCTATAAAAAGATCCTTGGAATAATCGCTTGTTATTAATATTAAATTATTAAATTATATCGGAAATTTTAAATAACAAGTGAGAGAGAAAGAGAAAGGGAGAGGTTAGAGAAACGATTATTCCAAGGATATTTCTTAGACACACACACAATGAGCCGCATATAGTACACAATCTCGTCCAATTATACGAACAGGGAATATATTGTCTATTGTAACACTTGTATTGCGTTTATCCATGCTCGCGGTTATCGAAATTTAATTATAAATCCCGCTTATAAAATGGACATGGGGGATGAGCAGGTGGCAAGCAGACCAGAAAAATAAACGAGCCGCGATTCGATTATCGCCGCTGCGGCCGGTACGGTGCTCTAAGGCTAGTCGCGTGTTTTAGCGTTTGCGTAATTAATATTGCAGTTCCGCGGACTGCGAAAACTGGAGTAACGGCTATACGCGACTGAAGGTTGCTCAATGTCGTTGCGTGGCCCTTCGCCTTTTTCTACGATCAACGGCCAGATTTTACCATTACTTCTTACATATCGCGCACGAATGCGCGTATATGTGCGTGCGTATTGCGTGTGTGCATTGAAACGTAGAGACGTGGGTTCTCTTACGCTCGCGAGCAACCTTCGTTACATTCCGCAACGAATGAACCCCTGATTTCGCGTTACCGGATGCACGTTATTTAAACACGATCATATCATGTCGACGATGTCAATGTTGCTTATGATTAAGATTACGCAAAAACGCGTTGCACTGTTTATCGAGAGAATCTGGGTTAATGATCTAAGTTTCTACAAATATTTCCATGTGTTGCCTAAGTGAAAGTATTATACACGTGGATCTTTCATTAAATTTAAGATTTATTGAATTTTTATTCACATTTTATTCATTCACAAGTACGTTTTATATTTAAATTTTATCTCAGTATATATTTACCCTTTATCTTTAGTTTTTTTTTTCCACGAAACTATAAATTACATACCCATGGAATAAAAAAATTAGTAATTTGTTTATATATTAATTACATTATACGTTATTGAATAAGCGAAAAATCTATTTTCAGTCACGAAAATAGATATTTTTCTCTT